GAGAGACTTTATTCAAAACTTCTGAAATTTTTTATGCAAACTAGTCTAGCTGAGGCCTTTATGCAGGCAAAGTTTCAGGTCAAAATTCGAAAGAATAGCTTTGCTGCCACTGTAGGCATACAATAGAGAAAATTCACTAAGAGCTCGATATCTCCTCAGAAACAAGCCAGAAACTCGAACTTTTTTTACCGTAAGCATAACTCACTACGGGCTACAAGATGCACGAAACCCCGATTGAAAAGCGCTCTCGCACCTTGGAAGGTTCCCTAGTTAGACAAATAACAACAAATAAGCACTGACAGAAACCACAGCATCACAAAAAGAGAACAGGTACAGTCATGAGAATAACAACTTTCATTGAGAAATAAAAAAAAAGTTTCGAAAAAAATTCACTATTCGAATTCAATATCCATCACTCATTGTTGCTATTCGTGTTCATCATGGTCATACAACTAATTATCAACGAAATGACATACAAATAGAAGGAAAGAGTAAGAAAAAAAAAATATTAATCGATAGAAGGATTCTTGGCTAAACTTTCAGAATGAAAAGAATCTTGGCAAGTTGTCTGACAAAAACAAATATGAAAAGAATAAGGATGAGAATGTTGACTTGTGCCCCGTTTCTTCTTGTTATAAATCGACATGCTATATTTATTTCACTCGTATTATTTCGCCTTCTTCATCTTATTTTTGCACCCTCCTCGCCATCCTTCGAGAAGAAGAGCACCGGATTGACGAATAAAGAAGCACAAACTACGAGAAATGGTGCCAGTCTGAAGCAAGACAGAAAACGGTGTTAAACATTTGTGCGTAAGAATGAAAAGAAGAGGAACAGACAAACAAAGCAGCGAGGAAAAAAACAGACGAAAATGCAGATCTTTTTCTTCTTCAGTTTCTTTCTCTTGTATTCTAGACTTTCGGAAAGTCGTGAAAAGAGGAAAAAAAAGAAAAGAAAAATGATTGAATATTACCTTCATATGTTGAGCATTAAAATTAATAGTAACTTAATTGATTACATTTGTTATTATGCAATCATTTATTAGGAATTTAACAAGATCCGAATATTGTAATAACGCCGAATACAATAATCCATCACTGATCTTAATGCGACGATGGATAAATTATCTTCAGTTGATGATGATAAATCACCAACGTCATCAAATCAATAACAGAAATGGACAACAAATAATGATTGGCCACGGTATATTATCAATAAGAAATAAAAATTTCTTTTGATTTATTCTTATTTTAGGTCAACCGATAATCAACAACAACAAAATGCAATGAATTCAAGTGGTTTAATCCATTTGATTGCTACTCGTGGTGAGTCAAATTTCACTGATAATGCTAATGATGGATCAATTGTAAGTATTCGAACAGATGATCAAACATCTGAACAATTACCTCTTGTTCCTTCCTCATCAGCAATACTTCCAATGGATACAGAACAACATCAACTGATGGACAACAAACAGTTAATATTTCACATAACATTGTCGAAACTCATCGTGATATGTTAAAAAGCTTACTTCTATTCCTCACACATGGCCACATATTTGACAGTAATCAAGTCTTTTTTCTTATCCAGATTTACCACATCTTAATATTATTTGACAAGCAACATATCGTGATGGACGCTTTGTTTATCCATTTTGTACAGTTGATTTTGCTTCAAACGAAGGCATATATTGTCATTTATATAATTCATGTACGAAATTACCATATCTCAAAGCATTTCTTCATTGTCTTATATATGGAAGTGAATTAGCTGAGATCGAAGTTCATTACATACACATTTAGCTTGACATAGGACTACATGTTCAAACTGAAACGAGTTACGAATGATTTCTTCATATTCGATCTTTTTTTTTTATATGTAAAATAACATTCTTTCAACTATGCACATAAAAATGATGTTTTTGTCGTATCTTTCTATTTTACCATGATTTGTTATTAATAGTAAAATACTCTTATGTGTTTGTTTTCTTTGTGTTTTTTCATATTTAAATAAATGATTTTGAACAGCATATTATTTTTGTTGATAAACAAGTGGATATGTGGAACTCGATAGCGAAAATTTATTTGAGCAATTTTTCTTTTAAATCTAGTACCTCATGATGATCATCCTGTGTTCAGTACGTCAATTATGATGTGCGAACTCTCGTCTTGAAAAACTACGTATATAATGTCCACAACCAATGGATATCGAGCGAGTGGTCATCCCGCTCCCCAAAGAGGCTTGGATGTGGCTGTGACTGATGAGTGAGTAGAGATCAACACCCACACCCAGCTCTGTTCAAAACCTATATTCATCACTTACCACATCCATAATTGGCTCATCAGAACTATATTCCACAAAAAACAGGTGATTCAGGATTTACTTGGTATTTTTCTGCTTCTAAAATCTTATCAATTTCGCTAAGTATACGTTTGCTTGTTGCTAATAACAAAGGAATGGAACATAGTGTTGAAACAATGTCGCTTTCTACTTCTGTGATATTTTCTCAAGTGTCATAAATGACTCAATCATGATTGAATCGATTTTCATTCTTATGTTTATAGATATATAGGGTAGTCAAAAGGTTCTGCAATTTTCAAGTTATGTATTCATACAGAAAAACATTTTGTTAATTCTTTTACAGTAAATGTTCGAAAATAGCCTCTGTAATGTTAGACACAAAGTCTCATTCTTTCAATTCACTTCTAGAACGTCTTTTGATACTTTTGAATAAGTATTAAATTCGACCTCCTTCATTATTGCTTTAGGTAAACTTGTATTATGTAGATATGTATAATGTCTACGTTTCACATAATCTAACAACCAAAGCACTTTGTCTACAAGCAGCAGTTAATTCATCATGGATTTATATAGCTGCACTAAACAAAATAACAAACTAGTTTTTATAGATGAGCGTTTGTACTGTTTTCCAATCTGAAAACAGAGGTGAATAAAAAAATCTACTAAGAGTTTCTCATAATATACACTTGTGAAAATTCGTATTAGCAGTTTAATACACTACAGAAGTCGCTATCAGAATATGCCAATATGAAAGACAAAAACAATGTGGGAGAAATTTCACAGAACTGTTTGAGGAACGTTTTGACTACCTTATGTATATAGCAGTTTGAAAAAGTAAAAATATTTTGAAACATTGAGATTTCATATATTGCCGATCTACACGTCAGATATCCAACTAGGTTATAGGACATTAATTTCTACGTCTGTAGCTGTTTTTAGAAAAAAAATAATTGTTCAAATCTCAAACAACCTTTTAAATGAATGTTCAAGGCGAGAACGCAATAATCAATAAACGGAAGGTAATGATAATCGCAAAAAAATTCAAGTGCTTCCTGAAATGTTTTGAGTAAACATAAAAAGCATTAGACTAATTTGAAACTCGTGATGCACTGTTACGTGATGCAATACTCAAGCTTTCGCATATTCATACCTTTGAGAAAAATTAAATTTCAACAACAACAATTTTGTTGCTGAATTGATCACTATTGGAGAAGAGAGGAGACGAAATAGACCTAATCAAAATTTTATTATTCTCCGTAAAAACTTGACCTGACGATGCTTAGGACTACATCACACAACGTCACTATCCTTTATATTCTAATAGGAAAAAGAAGTTCTGAAAAATCGATTTAAAAATAAAATATTGAATTCCATATCACTGTAATTCATTAAATTACTTATTATGTATTTTTGTTTTGCTGCATACGTGTTCTTTGTCTTGTATGACTCATGCAGGTAAAAAAAACAACTATCAGTCTTTTTTTCGTCATTTATTTTCATGCGACAAGTGACATATTTAATAAAAAATATTCTTCAAAGAAATCTTCTTTTAAAAGAAAACATAGCAAATAGTATGGATTTATTACATGCAGCTGACTGTGGTCGTTTATCTATAGTTAAAAAATTAGTATCCAAAGATAAGTCTATAATTCATACTTGTCGACATACAGATCATCGTAATCGAGCATTTAATACCGACTCATCAGCTATTCATTATGCTTGTCGATCTGGTCATTTAAATGTTGTTAAATATTTATTAGAACAAGACTCAACAATTATCAATGATCCAGATATTGAATGTTGGACATCATTACATTATGCTTGCTATAATGGACATATAAATATAATAAAATTATTATTAAAATATAATGCTGATGTTAATTTAAAAGATAATTATTTATTTCAAACACCTATACAATTTGCTATGTATAGACAATTTGAAGATATTGTTCATTTATTAGACCCTAATATACAATGGACACGTCGAAATATTAATGAAATATCAACTAAAGGAACTACACCTGTATTTCGAAAAAACTCAAATTTATTTCTTGGAAGATATATTTTAAATGAAAATCATATTAAGGAAATTGAATTATTTAGAAGTGGTGCACAACCAAATGATATTGAATTAAGAAAAATTCAAGATGTTGAATTGTCGAATCTTAATGTTCGAATAATATTTACACATGATTTTAAGAAACATATAAATAAAACAATAGAATTATCATCAACTGAAGATGATGATCCATTTTTAAGATCCTCAACAACATCAACTAATGAACATATTATGGTTTTTGATGATGAATAAACTATTTCAAAGAAAATAAATCAAATAATTTCAAAGATTCATTATCATAGATGCATATAAGATGACTCATAAATGACAAGGCGATAAGACATTTAAATATTTCCGCTAGATGTCGACCGCATAAGGAGATATGCGTGTAGTTCAGACAACGCAAATTCAAGAAAATTTAGTGTTTAGAACGCTCATATCAGAGTTGGGTGTGCCAGCCTTTGCAATCTCGTCAGTACGATTATGTATATGAAAGCGTTTTAATGAAAACTAGTCGAATCCAGATGAACTCGAAGTTTTCTATTTAAGGTATTGTTCCTTATTTTGAGCTAATGAATGATCTTGTTAAAACAAAACTATATTTTATTTCAAATAAAGTACAGTCGAATAAATCAAAAGAGATCATCATCGATCTATTCGATCGAGATCACTATCAAATGTTGCTTCAGCGATATTTAATTCATCAGATAAACGTAAATAAAGCACCGATTCATCATCACTTTTTATTCGTATTGGTGTTAATGAAATATTTTCATCATCATCTGTTATTAAGTTTTGTTGATTATCTAAAGAAGTTAATGATAATGAACTAGTATCATTTAACGATTGTAAAGCTATTGAAAGATCAAGTTCCGATGATGATGATGATGAAAATAACGTTTGTTCAAATTCACCTAACAAATTATTTGAACTAGTTGTATCATTAATACTTTCCTTTTCATTTTCATTATTAGTATTAATAACTGTAGAAATCTCTTCTTTAGTTAGTACATCTGTTTCCGTAGTAGATTTGTTATTTAAATGAGGATTTGGTGTTCTTAAAAAATAAATCAATTTTTGTTAATTTTATTCAATTTTGTTTTTCTTTAATTACATACTGAATATCTGGTTTTTGTAAAAGTGTGGATGCTAAACGAACGGCTAATGGAAGAAGTGCCATAGTTACATTTGAAGATGCTGAATCAAGTGTTTGTTGAAGATTACTTAAAGTATGATTGAGCTACAAAATAGAATGTAATCGAAATAAATAAACAAAAGTTGTTAGCGCAATATATGCGGGATTGTAATGTGAAACACGACGCAGCTGCTATTGCTAATCACAGAGAGATTTTTATTCTATTTATCTTGGAACATATCTCTTCATTATCGCTGTACCTAATCCACCAGAAATGCAATGAGTTAATAGTAACGAAATATTACTGATATACGGTTTTTGATCGTATATTAATAACGTTTGTCATGGTCGGCGAAGAGAAACAGACGTGGCTACTACCCTAAACTTACTCGAACAAGCTCTGTTTTAAGTTCTCGATTTTGTAATTGTGCATAACGATATGCTTCAAAATAACTTATTTCAACGGCTAAACGTCTTGTACGTGAATCATCCATATATAATTCTTTTGAAACAACTTCTTCTCGATTTCGACTTTTTAATGCTAAAACCTAAAAATATATGATCTATATAAAATTAGTTTATAATAATCTTCTTTTACTTTAGGTAGAAAGACAAGACATATAATAACACTTGTCATTATAATAACAACGAAACATAAAACAATATATGTATGTAAATTTCTTATCGATATCATTACAATAAAAGTAAATAAACTCGTTAATACAACAATATATATACTCCAAACAATAAATTTTGAATCATTTAATGCTGATATATGAACATGACGAGTTTTAGCAGCTAAATAACCGCCAACAACAAGAAATAATGATTTATAGAAATAAATGAATGGTAAAATTTTTTGACGATATTTTGAATTACAATGATAGATTTCATCCGAAACAACTGTATCCATATCAAGGCGTCGAATCTATAAAACTGCTTTTTGAAAGTAGATTTCTCTTTTTTTTCTATATAAACAAATAAAAAAAAAAGGATTTTACCGATCCATAAGTAAATTCTATAAAATGTGGATCAAGAAATTGCCAAACAATTGTACAAATAACATCGATACTGTAGATATGTAAACATATAAGTAACAGGTAATAATCTTGCAGAAGCTATAAAAGTGAAAAGAGAACCAAAAAATTTACGTGAGATTAGTTTTTTGTTTTGAATAAAAAGAACAAACTTTTGAATGAAGTAATGGTCGATCATGAGATGTAAATATACGATAAACTCGTAAAGTTTTTAAAAACATTGAACCAAATGTTAATGAAAATCCACCAGAAAAAAGAAATATACGCAACTAATCAAAACAAAAACCAATTGTAACTACATACAAAACTAAAAGAAAATAAATTTTTACTATGCATGCATGCCCAAGAATATTATGTTCAAGAAACCATTGATCAAAGCCAAAAAGAAGTATAGCTATATGAATATGCATTGCACCAATAACCATCACATTATTTAATTTAGAACTTGATAATTTGATATAACTAAAAGTATTCAAAAAGAAAAGAATAACTGAATTTTTTTTCATTAATTTAGATAGTTAGTTTTTACACATTTATTTATGAACTAGTGTCTGTTTGACACTAAAAAGAATGAAAGTAATCACTTAATGCAAGTATTGATATTTTCGAATCGAACTTTTAAGTAATATTCTTATGAACAATAGAAATACAAAAGTTTTATCGTGTTAGACATTACTAACAGGTTAGTACTGATAACTAAATTAGCTGCTATATGAACTTAAATATAAAGAACATGTATTTTCTCAATATGTTTCAACCTAATATTTACAGTACTTTTACTGTCAATTTTACTAATAGTTAAAGTCATAAGTCTCGAACACATTTTATGTTTAATTCACAATGAATGTGACAACAACTATTGTATTTTTGAGCGAGAGAACATCACATGGCGCATGTTCTACAGTGCATGACCATATTTTTTTTAGAACAAAAGACTTGCGGCGGGACACAGAAGTCATCTAATTGATCATGATCCAATCGAATTCTGGTCTAGTAGCGAAACTTATCATGATTATTCGTTATCATCAGTAATAGTTAGAACAGTGCATAGCATTAGAACCCGTCGGGTTGGTCTTGAACTCGAGCAACTGGTCCAGAGCCGGAATCCGAAAATTTTCCAGTCGGCAGGCTCTACATACCATATCAGCAACTAATACTTCGAATGAAAGATTATATAATACAGCTATATCAACATTTACTTGAAGGTGAAAACGCTCATCTCCAAGTCATATTGATAACATTCTAAGTTAAACTTTCTTTTTCATTTGCTTGATATGCACAGATCTCAAAATGTATCCTTATCACATGACTTTCTTTGCATAGACAAACACTTGTGTGAGTTAGGTGCACATATAAAACAACTCATACACTGAACTTATGAAAATCATACAGATGAACACACTTAAGACAATCAACTGGAATAAAATAATAAAAGGTTTTCTGCTCAAGATAAAAGAATGTCGTTTACCATTGAAGATGTCTGAGTCTACTTATTTATGTAGATTCTCTTGTTAGTCTGTCTGTTACAGACTTTTTTATTTAAGCTGAAAACATTTTTATGAGTCAAATCATTTTGCATACAAAATTGAAGAACAAATAAAACGAAAGGCACGTATAACATATAATTAAAATTAGTTTCACGCATGACAGCTATCATTTTCATAGTTGTGACAAATGACCAAATCCGATGGATCATTACTATTGTTAGCTTGCGATATATAACGCTTGAAAAAAAATTCAGAAGTATGAGTAAGAATGTTAGGCAATGGAACAAGAAGTTCATGCACCTGAGCTCACTATAAAAGGCTTCAAGATGTACCCATATTTATTTTGATCATCGAGCCTTTGAATGTATTCATCAATATCATTTTGCATGTCGAGCTTTAAGAAAATAGATTCTATGCTTTTATATTCAATATTTATAATATGATGAAAGGTTAAATACTAAAAGTCTAATTCTATTATAGCAGAACAATTAATCTTTAACCTCTAATTCACTTTTATTCTTGACATCGTAAGTTTCTATTTCCTAGAAGTTCAAATGAAATGACAATGACAAAAGTCTTACGGAAACTTAATTTGACGCTCTAAGAAATAAGCGTAAATAATTGGTTTTAATTTAGAAAGAATATAAAAAAAAGTATGTGCATATTTTTAGATAAAATTAATTTTTTAATCTATCTCAATTAGAAACTAGGAATTCTATTCTTTCAATTTTGTATCAATGAAAATGAATTTTCGCTATACATCATTGATATTTCATAGAGATCGTTACAATGGTAGTATTTTTAGCTTGTATCATCTGGTTTAATCAATTAAGATGATCAGTAGAAGCTATAAAGTATTGATTCAAAATGAAAATCTTGCCTTTTTTAATTTCAGAGCGCAAAAAATCGTACAGGATAGGAAATAAAGTTTATTTCAAATACATCAAAAGAAAGAGCAAACATTTTTTCTATTAAATGATATCTCAATGATTAGTTTTTCATAAGACATTCACCAGCAATGAAAGTTGTGACAAGAGGTACAGTGACATTTTCATGATTTCTGATTTTTTCAGATTTACAAGACGCACTTGCTTAATTATTATGAAGCATTGTTGCGAGAATCTCGGTTCCTAAGACACTCTGTAGGCACAACATGCTCTACAAAAAAAAAAAAAAATTATTAGAAAATATGTAAAAGCGAACATCATTTATTAAGAAGAACGTCTATTCTCTAGGTAATGATCCAAAACGTGATGCGATCAAAAGAAAAGAAATGAGATTTGAACAATATCATGCATCTCTACGTCAAAAATATGACATTACTAACTAAAATTGCTGAAAAACATCATGGAAATAATTTCAAAGGAGATACAGTCACATTCCTTATCTACGAGTCTTTGAGTTGCTGTTATCTTTGTTCAATTTTTATTTTTATGTCTTTTCAAAGATTTGCTCTTAACTCCAAAAAAAGAGTATAAATTTTATAGTTTCTGCTAATCATCTCTTAATCAATGAAAAAGAATGAAGAAATATTTTGTCTCAATACTTTCAATATGTCAGTTAGTGATGTGAATTACTTTTGAATTTTCTGGC